ATTCCTGACCCTTGAACTACTTAACACTGTATATATATATATATATATATATATATATATATGCAAGGCTCAACACATAATGTCTCTGGTGAATCAACGAAATCTGTCGAATCATTTACATACCTAGAAAGTGGGATAAATTCTAACAAGAAGAATGTGAAAATTCGCATAAATAAAGTCTAGGCCGCCTTGAATCAAATTGATGTAAACTGAAAATCTATCTACCAGACAACGTCCAGCGAAGATGCTTTCATGGTATTGTACAGGTTGTAATAATGTGTGGTGCCTGGACATTAATTAAAAACCTAGAGTTTAAACTTGATGGAACATACATTCGGATGCTGAGAGCTATATTTAACAGGTTTTGGAGAAAACCACCACCTAAATTTCAGCTCTATGGCCCCATCCCTGATTTTTCTACAATCTTACGCGAATCTCAAATGCGCTTTGCAGGACACGGCCGGTGAGCAAAATAAAACCCACGTGTGATCTATTACTCTGGACACTTTGGTCGTTCAGTAACCATCTAAATTAACCAACTATATTGTGATACGGAATGTCACTCTAATCCGAGTGACATCCGTATTGATTCAGCTTGATGCAGAACCTTGACTTCTCAAACGAATACATCAAAATTAAGATTCACGTTATATTCTTGAGTTAAATTATCCTGAATGCATTTTTTTTCATTCTTTTTTTTTATTTGAGCACAAGAATTGAATCATATTTTGAAATATTTTCTGTAGACACAAACATTTAAAATATTACTATCCATAAACCACCTTTATGAGCTCACTGGATATATTTCTCTATATAGCTTGTCAGGTGATATAAATTAATACTAATAATATATATATATATATATATATATAGTGTGTGTGTGTGTGTGTGTATTTACGCAGCATCTTTTCATTCATACACGTTTCATTAAATAATATATACAACACTTGTCTATATTATTTAATGAAACGTATATATATATATATATATATATATATATATATATATATATATTAACCATAAAGCGACAATTGATTACGACTATTTACTATTTATTTTTGCACCTGTTACACTGTTAAAATGGATTATCCATTTACTCATTTCTTGATCGACAACATTGCAAGGAAGATTAGATAAATCGGTTATGAATATGTCAAGGCAAATTATGTGCTGCGTTTTATCAAATCAGCACATACTTCAGCAAGGATGGCCATATTTTAATGTTGAAACTAAACACAATACAAATTGTAACTGAATTATTTGAATAATTGGATTTCATAATTTATTTCATAATTTATTTTACATTGTAATTATATCACACTTACACACACTGTCACACCTTCAAATCACATATTCACTGAATCTTTTCATCGACACACGCTACATAGACAATACAAATTTTAACGAAATTCACTGCATAATTGGATTATCTAATTTATTTTATATTGGAATTATCTCTTATTCACTGAATGCTACAATCACATATTCACACATTTGCAAAAAAAAAAAAAATCCAGTGTTACAAAAAAAGTAATTCCGATGAATAAAACCTAGAGAGAAAGGTCTTTGTAGCTAAGCGTCTGTGTGATACTATTTGCCATTGCCGCAGTAAAACGGAAGAAAGTTTTGTTAAAACTTAAGAAAGTATTATGTGCTGAGAGACATTGAAACGAGAAGGGTTAATACCAAAAACCCGTGGGAAGAATTGAGGATTTAATTCACACATAAACGACTTGAACTGTATGTCGAGCAAATTGGGCATTGGAAAATTGATCCAGACTAAGGGGCCAATGATGATTAACATGTCTTCTACGCAGCTGAAAATGCAAGCCGTAAAGCGGAAATTTCATTCTTCGCAAATAACGAATTTGGAGTTTATTACTTTGGATGAAAGTTGGAATACCAGGAGTTGGTAGTTAAGCCTCCCACGCTCACTGAGGAAATTTTAGATATTTATGAGAGAGTGGAAGAAGTAAATTCCCCAGGAATATCGAATTATCGAAGTCACTTGTTTGGGCAAATGTCAATAAATAAGAATGGACAAAGACGAGTCGCAGAAGAAAGAAATGAAGCAGAAGAACCAGAGACGAGACCAGAGACAGGAGAGAGTCCCACGTGATTATTTGCCGATGAAAGCCTCCGACTTCAGCCTTGTGCCAAACTTTAGCAAAACAGCAAATCAGATTTTCCAAATCAACAACGATATTATCACTGCCGATTTAGACGCGTGTTGGGCTGATAATTAATTGCATGACATTACCAATTATTGTACGAAGAACTGATGTAAAAATAGTCTTTACTTTTGTCCAATTTATTCGAGTGTTATTTTTTTCCTCTAAGTCTTCGCCCCGTTTCGAGCCGCCAATCACGGAGATTCTACGACGATTCGATCTTGGCCTCCTAATGATTAAACTTAAATCACAACGTGGCATAGGGCAGGTCTAAGATCCAAGCGATCTTCATTGATTAGCCGCGGTTTTGGAAGTCTTGGACGACCTGGGAGGATGTTTTAAGATTACAAAAGAAACTGAAGAGGTCCATGAGAGAGATAATAAATGAGAGTGTAGAGAGAGGGAATTCCCCAAAATCATGACGTAAGTCAGAGGAAAGTCACCGAAATGCTCCTACTTCGACATAACTCGATGCTAGTTTGGGTGAATGTCCATAAATACGAGTGCGAGAAACGAACTAGTCAGTAGAAGAGAGAAGAGCGGCAGAAGAGACGGAGACGAGACCAGTGTCCTGAGAGAGTTCTACGTGATTATCTGCCAACGAAAGCCTCCGAATTCAGGCTTGTGCCAAAGCAGCAAACTGAAGTCAACAACGCTAATATCACTTCCGATTTAAACGCGTGTTGCGTTGATAATTAATTGCATGAGAACTCTAATATAACCAATTATTGTAAGAAGGACTGATATAAAAACAGTATTTACTTTTGTTCTATTTATTCGCGTCATCGCCTTGCTTGGACCAGCCCAACACGAAGATACCTGCGACGATACGATCTTGGCTGCCTTATGATCAATCTTAAATCACAAAGTAGGATAAGGTTAACTCTGGATTGTAGCGGTCAATTCAGCGACAAGCCGCGATGTTGGAAGTCTTGGACATCTGAACGCTTGAACAGTACATAAGTAAAATCTTCATTAATTTCAACTTATTTATATTTTGTGATTAAATCACCAACATTCTTTCGTTGCTAATTTTTAAGAAAAGTGGATAAGCCAAAATCGATTGGAATGTCTTCTGCTTGGCTTGTTTCATTATTTCGTGCGAGGCAGTTTACTCACCAGAATCTATCTTATATATCTAGAAGTCTACCATTCTTCCATTCTCAGAATATTGCTGCCACATATGGTATCGTTTTTCTGCTATATATTTTAGAGATACTTGATAAAATCTGAAGAAAAATCTGCAATGTCATTGGTCCTGATCAGTCTTCAATAACTTCTCCATCGATGAAATATGGGTTTCCCATACCTTTTCGATAAATAATTTGTGTAAATCTTCTGATGGTGCCTAGACTGTATGAATTTAAGAGCATTATTAAATTGACAGAAATTTGTCATCATTTTACAGTCGAAATAGCGAAATGCAGCCGTAAGTTCTATGCAAACAGCTTCTTTTCTCGCACTTCTCGATTGTGGAATTCTCGTTCGGCTTCATGTTTTCGAGTCAAGTTTGACCTCCAAAGAATCAAATGCAGTCGTTATCTTTTGTTTTCTTAAATTCTGTTCTTTTATTGTTCCCGCTCCTTAAAAAAAGTTTTCTCTGTCCTATATTCTTTGAAGCTCAATAGCCACTGCGGGTTCCTGTCGCTCTTATCTTTCTTGAGAAGAAATTAGTAAAAAAAAATGTATATTAATCTTAAAGGAACCTATAAACATTATACTTTTATATATAGTCGGTTTTCACGTCTGAGGAGACCGCAAAAAGGTGAATGTCAAGAAGGCTGAGATAAATTTTGAACGCCGACTGAAATTGCATCTTTGGTAACAAAGAAAAAAATACTGATCTGTTACGTGACACATGTCCTCTTTACGACAGAAAATGTTGGACGATTTCCTCAAAGATGAAGAAGAGACTCGAAGATACAGAGATGTGGTTCTACAGAAGGATGCTAGATCTTAGAGAGGTTGCAAACAAGTAGGAGGCTTATACTTAATATCAGGAAGAGGCAGCTGAAGTTTCTGGGACACATAATGAATAAGGCGGGCATGTAGAATCTGATACTCACGGGTCGAATAGAGGGAAAGAGAAACAATGGAAAAAATGCGTGACATAGCTGGCGGACTTATGCAAGTGGATCAGAGAACGGAACTTGTTGAGAGATGCCAAGGATAGAGGGAGGTTGAGAGCCATGATCGACTACGTAGTGAATAGACATGGCACATAAAATGAAAATCTACCTTCTGCCACATTTTGTGCGTGTCGACGCATTGATAAAACTAACCACTAAAAACGAAAGTGTCTTTAACCCTAGAACACTAACCGTCAATTAAAGTTACACCACTACAAACCAGGGGTCTATCATACCCGATTTTGAACATATCAAAAAAAAAAAAAAATAAAATAAAATAAATGAATATAAATCTTTATTTGAAATATTTTACATGCAGGCACTTCAAAGTTTCTACTTTGAGTTAACATTAATAGGAACTGAAAAAAAATTATTTAGGTGACAAAATCAGGTACTGAAAATTGTAATTAAAAATAAGAAAAATTGCGCTGGGTATATTATACCCATGGTTAGTGTTCTAGGGTTAAGAAGATCCCATAACTTCGAGGAGAAAAGGTAACAGTTATTAGCCGTGAGATGTATAATGTACTGAACATTATTTTAAGTGAATTTTCTCATAAATTTCAATTGAGTGTAAAGTAACTTTTCGGTCAATCGATACCGAATTTTATCGTCAAAGCATTGGCTAATTTCCCCAATTACGATTACAATTAAGATTTTTTTTTTCGAACGTTTCGTATCATTCCATTTCTGTCATTCCATGCAAGCATTTTCTATCTATCTATCTATCTATCTATCTATCTATCTATCTATGAGTTGATTCTTTTATCTTTGAATTTCGGCAACATCACGTTGAAAAGTGCACTCAACGCAGATCGAAAATAAAAAATATGCCGGCTGCGAGATTTCAATCAGTATCGCTATACATGCGAAACTATCTACGACTTGACTTACAACCATATCACGTTGAAACAAGTATCCACGTAGGGCCACCGAAGTTAAGCAAATTCGAACTTGTGAACACGTGCTGTATACTTGGGTGTGTTGATGGTGTAATAGATAATGGGTCGGAATTTTTAATCGCAGAGCCGAATTCCAATGACAGTAGGGTTTGCTATATTTACTGTCAAATACCTTTGGGAAAAGTATGAATCCACCCCTTCTCCTCCAAATATGGGTTAATTAGTAAGGCTTATATCGCTAAATTGTTATTTAAAAAAAATGTCTGATAATCTAAAAATATTTCCTGGCTTCAAATATCCTGCAAATGTATGATAATCTGTAGAAAACGAATCAATCTATCAATAAATCTTTTTTCCTCTATTCTGTTGTCGTTGTCGTTGTCATTTTGTCTTCTCTGAATTAATTCTTAATTAATTTCTTGAATTCTTTTTTTTTCAATTCAAGAAATTTCCTCTCCCTTTTTTTAAAATTATTAATATAACTAATATGACATTTTGTCAATCAGAATATCTAAATCTGTTGCTGTTCTTTAGGTTTTGGCTAACCAATTCTTGCTCCTTTATGCACAACTTGCCCTTCCTTGAACAAGCTGTACCATTCAAATATATCCATTTTCTCATTGCATGTTAGCATAAGCATTTTTCATAGGTTTAATGCTTCACAAGTTCTTTATTCAGGCTTCGTACAAAACATGATGGTATTCCGTTATTCATCCACCGCCAACGGTATATCACGAATCGATACATCTTCTTTCAATCATACTTAGGCAATGGTATATCACGAATCCGTACATCTTCATTGGCTCATCCTCCGCCAACAGTATATCACGAATCCGTACATCATCTTTTACTCATCCTCCACCAACCGTATATCATGAATCCGTAGATTTTCTTTCACTCATCCTCCGCCAATGGTATATCACGAATCCGTACTTCTTCTCTCCCTCATCCTCCGCCAATGGTATATCTAGAATCCGTATTTCTTCTTTCACTCATACACCGCCAATGGTATATCACGAATCCGTATATTTTCTTTCACTCATCCTCCGCCAATGGTATATCACAAATCCGTACATCTTCTTTCCCTCATCCTCCGCCAATGGTATATCTCGAATCCGTATTTCTTCTTTCCCTCATACACCGCCAATGGTATATCACGAATCCGTTCATTTTTTTCACTCATCCTCCTCCAACTTTATATCACGAATCCGCACATTTTCTTCTTCGGCGATCAATGACTCATCTAGTATGGTTCCCAAAAGAGGAGCCGTTTGAATATCTTAGGACGTAAACGGGTATAAATATTTCCCTGACATTTTTACAAGAAAGGCACATGGAATTTATTAAAGAACGTAAATTGTCACACATCGTGATTGTTTTTTATTTTTTCTACATCAATTGTGTAAATTCCATTCTCTGTTCTGATACATACAATAAGATTCAGTGACTTATGTGTCATGCGTGATACACGCTCAGGCGATCTTGTATCTACTGATACATGACTGACGAAGCAGATTTTGCCATTTCTTTCTGAGGTCAAACAGTTGCCGGTCTGGGATCTATAGCCTTGGAACTCGGGGTGGAGAAGAAGAGGATACATTCATTGCCCAAATGTCTTAGCACGTAAATGAATCTAATGGATTAACTGGAATTCGAACTCGGCTCTCCGATTCGAATTCCAGTCAAATCCATTACATTCAATTAAGTGCTAAGATTACTATAATCTAATTACTATCCATATATTATTGTTAAAATATTGAATATCGCTACGACGATCGAAGTATTATTGACTAAAATTCTGCACTATTCGCCTTCCAATTATAATAGACAAGTTGTTTACTTGCGTTCTGCAGTAATAGTTTCTATGTTTTTCTATGAGCTACACTAATACCTGACGCCTGTGAAGTCTAATTTTGTCCTACCATTAGTTGGTCAAAATATTGTAGAGAAATTAATAAATACATATGACAATAAAATAAAATATTTAAGTGAGAACCAAAGAAAAGATCAAATAAAGTAAAAGAAAACTGTCTTCATTTTGTTTAGTGGGAATTGTTGGAATTTGAAAAAAAAAAAAAATGTTTTAACATTTTTATTATCCCCAAGCGATCTAATAGGCCCTATTATCCTGGTATTTTCGCTTTTACTGTTTTCTCCATTATTTTTTTTCTGATTTATCTCTTCGTTGAGTTACGTGCTAATCACTCTGATGACCTTCATTCGAACCGCATTTAATATCACCGGCTAAAGTCTATATTATATCTACGTGCGATACCCTCTGCTTATCAGTCGCCAACCCGTTTCGGCGGCTAAGGCGGTACGGCCACAACTGGCGCCACCAGCAGTTTGTGCCACCGGGTGGGGTATAGTTTTTCGTTGTAGACGTTTCAGTCTCTATGATTTTTATGCATCTGCAAGTCAGATTTTCCATCGTTGTTCAGCGAAAGCATTTGCTTCTATTAGTGAATGGTTTCCTTATCTGCAATGCAACACTTTTCGATCTTTTTTTTTTCTCCTTAATAGTTTGTCTTTTAAATTGGCAAAAAAGATAAACCTCTTAAAATGTTTAAATATTTTATAAACTTCAAAACCTTTAATGAAATCAACGATAACTACATGTCAGAAGCTGATATTAATCTCAATGTAGGACAATCTCTCACCTGATTCAGTATAAAAAGGGGGATTTTCCAAGTAAGCTTTCTATCATAAACGCTTTTCATCAAACACATAACGCTGCTTATATGCGTGATGCTAAGTAGTAATGAAGGTTATATGTTTACAAAGTCGAAAGGTTTACATCCTAACTTATATGGAATGTTTATCTTTGGCAGTAGTAACTTGAGTGCCTCTTTGAGAATAAAATTCGGAATTACGCAATATACAAAAAAATAATGAACGACTCATGGATTACTTAACTACAACAGCAATGGGAATGATGTATAAATAATATTTTAACATGTATTCAGGGATTGAAAAAAAGGTGATACAATAAATGATAATAAAAAGAAAAAAAAATCTTCCGTAGTTGGATTCCAATTTAAAAATATCATCGGAATATATTAAGCTGTGTCATAAATAATTTCCGCATCAGAAAGCAATTGTAATGACACATTGAGTAACAACTGTATTGACACATCCATTATCTAAACTAGCCATTCCTTAAATATATAATAACAAATGTTAATAAATGTGTTACATACGGAAGAATTTAAAACAAAAATGCATTGGATTTATAAGATAATATCTCCAGAACCGACACAAAAGCCTGCATTACATAGAAGCAAGTTAATGTTTTGGACGTGGTACGATTGGTCTGTTGTTATGGCATTAGTTTTCTTAAGCGTAATGGAAACTATATGCATATTTATACGTCCAGTAGTCGGAAGTTGTCCATAAAATTTCGTCGAAAATTATAGTGCGCTCGTGAGTAAGAATAATTTGTGTTCCTCCGTCACAATACAAGTCCCCATACCCCAAGAAAAAAAATCACAGGAAAAATTATGAAACTCCCTTTATCTATTCTAACCCCATGCGCCATGTTCACCTGACCTTGCACCAATCAGTTATTAGATTTTTCGACCATGCAAAAAGATTTGATGGAGAAAACCTTCCCTAATATAGACAATATTCCAGATTTCGTCGAAAAGTCTTTCACAACAAAGCCTGCTGAATTTATCTCAAGAAATATTAAAGAACTGCCAGATAACTGGGAAGAAGTCATGGTAAATAATGGCGAATATATAAATCAATAAAATGTAATTGTATTTTACTTTTTGATGAATGAAGTTCATAAACAGTTTTGAAAATTATCCGTGAGTAAAAAAAAAACAAAAAAAAAAAAAAAAAACGAGCAAAATACTGCACAGTCTCATTTCTATGACTTGTGGACACACCACTGCATAAATCACAGCTCACTAAAGTTTGATTCAAGTAAATGTGAAAAAGGTTAAGTTGCGAGAAAAAGCATCTTGGAATTATCAACGATAAATACGTGTGAAAAGCTGATATTAATCTCTCACCTGATTCATTATAAAAAAGGGAGATTTTCCAAGTAGACTTTCTATCATAAACGCCTTTCATCAAACACTCAGGAATGAATGATGAGATTTATTAGGTTGGTGCAAAAATAATGACGGATAATGTCGTTTTTGACGTTAAAAATACGTCAAAAAACGACATTATTACGTTATTATTTTTGCACCAACCTAATACAAAGCGCAGTAACAATTACACAAACCTTGCAAGAGCAATAACAGAAAGACAAGTATAGAATTAGAGAAAGTCAATAGGCTAAATCCATACTGTAAGGAAAAACAATATCATATTTTACCATAGAAATAAAAATTTACCTAGGTAATAATCTGAATTCCGATCAAGTACAACCTAGAACAAACTTATGTGAATATCTATTTAGATAAGTTTCTGTAAAATTAATAATTATGATCTTTTTGGAAATCAGTTATTTAATAAGCAAATGCAACAATCAGAAGAAATTCGTACATTGACATGTTAGCTAGCAACTGTTTGGTGGCCAAGTTTGAGAACGATGGATAATGAACAAACTAAAAAGTATCCTTTAATTTTAGATGGATCATCTAATCTAATCCAGTTGTTCTTCTCCTAAACCTGTTGTCACACCGAACCCAGTCTCTCCTGTTATTTAACCATAGCTGAGGAGACAGAGCAGAGATCGAGTCATACTTTTAATTCAAGTTCGCACTTAAGTGAAGGTCACGAACTTGAGTTGAATTCGAATTCTGATTCCTCATTCTGAGCCTCTATTCATTACTCTAATGCGTAACTACGATTACAATGTACATTATTTACTTTTCGTAATATTCATTGAATTTCTACGCGGTTTACATGTTTTTTGTCCAAAATCATCTACAAATTATTTCTTATTTTGTTTCATTTTCATTTTCAAGTTAACGGGAAATGTTCAAAAACTTGATTATTAAATTATTAATTAATTAATTAATTAATTATATATATATATATATATATATATATATATATATATATTTGAATTATTATATATATATATATATATATATATATATTTGAATTAGTAATATATATATATATATATATATTTGAATTATATATATATATATATATATATATATATATATATATATATATACTAAATACATATATATATGTTAAATAAATATATATATATATTAAATACCTATAAACTAGGGTTAAATAAACACTTGAGTATTTTAAATCTTTATAAATATTTCAATAATTAAACTTTTTTTTTTTAGATATAGTTAATTTTTTTTTCTTTTTTAAACAGCATCTAAAATATTATTGCAGTTAGATTTACGTTAAAAATATTGGAACACAGTGGTGTTCCATATCACGTGACGTCCGCATCTCGCGACGGACGCTACTTGTAAACATACCTCTAAAAACAGTTATTTCTGAAGAAAGACCGAGGTCGATCTGAAATATCAAATATAAATAAATACTTTCATAAAAAAAAAACATTATTATATTTTAATATATGTTATATATATATATATATATATATATATATATATACATATTAAGAAAGTATACGTGGCTTCTCATTATGAAATAACTCCAAAATAATGGTTATTTTTTAATGTACTTTGAAATTAATAGAATGCAATCGTTTATCATATTACAAGGACTTAAATATATTTGCAAAAATGTATCTGTCTATATTTCTGTGATGATGTATTATGTACACTATTTACATTAATCGCACTATTGTCCTCACCTTTGTTGCCATATTTATCACAACGTTTCGGCCGTTATACGCTCCGGCCTTGTTCAAGTGGTTGTATTTTCGAACTGAAACCTTTATTTCGATCGCTGGGGTAGACTGTTCTAGTTCCACATGCCATGTCTAATGGATGTCAGTTATCAGTTATCTCCTGTTAATTCCTCTCTCCAAGTTCTCCATCTCGTTTAAGGCGTTAGCTAGATCCAGTGACAGGATCCAAAGAGTGGGAGTTTAATACCTGGTTAAGGCGGTGGAGAAATTGGAGAGAACTGATAACTGATATCCATCAGACATGGCACAGCGAGCGAAATAAATGGTTCAGTTCGACATTTCAGCCAACTGAGAAGACAGGAGCGCACACCGGCCGAAAACTTTGTGATAAATATGACAACAAACATGAGGAAAATTGTCCGAAATTTAATGTAAATTTGCCAAAAAATTGTCTTCAAAAAGTATCGGCGAAAAACTATTTTTATTTCTTGTATTTTATTTAGTTTTTCTTATTACTGAAAATAATTTTCTGAAAATATGTACTTATTCTTTTTGTTAATTAAATAACTGTAATATAATTAGGAATATGTAGTTTCAATTTTCATAGTCGTTTTGCCTAGCCTCAAAATGCTGCACAGGTATATGTCAGCTTACAAAACAATACGGCTGAATTTAGCACAACACCATATTAATGTAATCTTTAATTTTCTCAAGTGATATGATACGAATTGAAATAGTTTGCCGTCTCAGTTCGTTGTACAAATTTATTTCGTTCTTTAAAGTTAGTTATATTTTTTGGAAGCTAGACAATAATATAATATAGGTATTCCAAAAAAATTAGAAGGATTTTCTATTTCATTCTTAGCAAATCAGTCATTGATAATAAATGAAAAATATTGACAATTTGTACACACGTCCAATTTATCGAAACATTCAGAACTAAAATCTTTTAGAAATCACTCAAAAACAAACACAGCAATTACAAAAGAACATCTTTATATTTGCTTTTCAGCAGAGCTTTTGTAATTTGCCATCAAAATATAAAGCCCAAAATACTGAAATATACAAAAGATTTGAAAACTAAAAAGCTTATTTCTCTCGTTGATCTGAAATAATTTTAGGTATTACTCTATTTAAATTCTAACACATATTACGTGTTGAAAAATGAAATCGTTTAAATTTACCTTCAAGACGGTTATTCCTGCATATATTAATTAAATTCCAGATACGCGTAAGTATGAATTTTTTACAGGTTTGACCAAAAAATGTTTACGTTTCTGATATGTTTGAATTTCTATTTACTGTTAGTCTAGAGATAAATATCTCGATTTTCTTGAGATGACTATCAAGGGAGTCTCAAAATATAGAATGTTTTTCTGTTGGGAATTAAAAAAAATGAACATTTTTTTAAATCTTTTTAGAAGGCAGTAATTTAAAATCATGGACAGTGCTTTTTTTGTCATGGAATTCAATTTCCTTTCTGTGATTCAATGTCTGTATTTTTCGGAATGTTTTGTATTATTTACTCTTTCACAAGACTCTGCTTGTTTCATAGCTTCATAAAATCAATGATAAATGGTAAAGATACAAACGTTTAACAGGGTTTGTGAAAAAACCCTTTAATAAATGATACAAAGAAATATTCGATGTTGTTGTTACCCTGGTTTAATAAGGATTAGTAGCTACGAATGAAGTAAACAAGATGCGCTAAGTGTAGCAAGTCTTTACGAGGATCTGCTGTCAGATCGCAGAAGGGAAAACGAAAAGTTTCCATTGAAAATAGATCAATCATTCCAGTGAAATTTGAAGACAATATGTACATACGAATCTCAAGAAGCAAAATAAAAAAAAATATTGGTTTGATTAGATGATTTCAACAGCGTTCATTGAATACGATTCAGGCAAATGATTATATTTTTGCATTTATAGGGTGCATAATAAAAATCATGGATGTAAACAAACATATTGAGATAGATAGATAGATAGACGGATAGATAGATAGAAAGAAAGAGAAAAAAAGAAAGAAATTACGAAATGAAGAGTTTTATGCGAATATATTTCGTTCGTTAAGATTTAGCAAGACAAAATGCCTTGATAAAATTGACAAAGAAGCGAAACGCGTTAACATAAAAGTTTTTCTCATTGTAATTCCTTGTTTTTTATCAATATTGTTTGACCTATATAATTCTCTCTCCCTCTTTCTCCCTCTCTCTCACTATCTCTCCCTCTCGCTCTGTCTCTCGCCCCGTCTCTCTCCCTCTCATTCTATCTCTCTCCCTCTCCCCCACGCTTTCTCCCTCTCTCCCTCTCTCTTTTTCTCACCCTCTCTTTGTCTCTCTCCCTCTCTCTATCTCCCTCTCCCCCTCTTCCTCTTTGTCTCTCCCTTCTTTCTCCCTCCCTCTTTGTCTCTCTCCCCCTCTCTCCCTCTCCCCCTCTCTCTCTTATATGTATTAAAGAAAAAACAGAAACCGTTGATGAAATCAACGGACAAATTGCCAAAACCAAGAACTCTTATCTAAATACCATCTCGAATAAAATCGATAATACTGAAAAAAAAAAAATCAAAAAGGCCTAGGGGAAATGTTTGAAGGGAGCGAAAACGTTATATATTATATATATATATATATATATATATATATATATATATATATATATATATATATATAGTAATTCATCGAGTTTAGAAGAATCCTCAACGGGGAGCCGAAACACTGGATGGCTGTTTTGTCCTATTTCAAACTCATCAGCATTGTTCATCCACTACAGAGAATCGAACGCATACCGTTTCGATACAACACAAGCGTCATACCAACTGCACCAAGAGGACTCGGTGCCGCAGAAGAAACTGACTATAGCGCCGCTACTCCCTATGTTCCGAAGAGATACTCCACCAAGTATTCAAAACTCCGCGTCATGTGCCCCAAGAGACACGTCTTCTTTTCTCCCTTAGCATCTTCTTACGAGTATTAGCTGGTTCAAACAAGGATATACAATTGATATGTGGGTGTGCGTATTCATATAAATCGATAGATAGATAGATATTAACAGATGAGGTAAGTAAGCTGAGAGATTTAAACAAATGGATAGCTAAATATCCACATATACATCTAACTGCGATTGATTCCTAGATTGAACAAAACGACACATTTTCTAATTGTAAGCTTGTTTGCCCAACACAAGTTGCGGGACGAGGAAGATGAATGTATGGACATTATTATTATTATTTTATTTCCTTTGATTTCTGATGTGTACTCGTTTTTTTCAGGTTCCTGCCCAGGACCAAAGGTTAGAAATGGCAAATGCTATTCTCCACTGGAAAGAGAGAAAAAAAAACACAACATGTTTTACATAAACAAAGCTCTTCGTAAGGTGTGAACTGTACTCGTGAGAATATTTTTTTTTATTTCTTTAAGGCATGGGCTTCAAGGAATCCCTTCACTTAGTCTACTGGAATCTTTTCCAACCAATTCGAGGCCTCTAACTGCAACGGGGATTGATGATGTTAACATATGCACATTTTTGAAATTTTGATTTCAAGGTCCTTGTATTTTGATAGCTTTTTGAAGAACTTCAAAGATACATTGCATTCTGCGGGTACTGTCATAGGAATAAAGAGGCACTTCTTTGTTTTCGGTCTCTAATAACAATGTCTGGGCGGTTAGCTTTGATTCTTCTGTCTCTGTGTATTCTGCAGTCCCATAAAATTCTAACAGATCCTATCTCCGTAACCAGGTGTGGGGAGTGTTCATACCACTTTCTTTCAGTCTTCTTCCCGTAGAAGTTACATATTTTCCAGTGCAGATATTGGCCAACTCTGTCATGGCGGTTTTTATATTCACTGGGTGCCAATACTGTGCAACTTGATACAAGATGATCGATTGTTTCTGGATTATTATTATTATTATTATTATATAAATATATAAGAACTCGGGGCGTTTCAACTACGTAGAAATAGCATATTATGTCCTAGCAGCAGAATTTCAAACCCGTAATAGAAATAGCGACACAATAGCAATAAGTTTATTTAATCTGTGAGAATGTGCTTGCAGAGTAGAAAATAAGTTTTACTCAAAAAAATCCTGCTGATGATTCTGAATTATATCAATGATGGAATTTGAAGATTGAGTAGCAGATATAATAGCAATAATCATATATTAATCTTATTCTTGTAATGATAAAACAAGACAAAGAAATTAGCCGAACATTTTCCAGCATCGATTGAGGTGCTTGTTCACGAAAGTTTAATTTCCATTCTTTAAAATGAACCTTATTGAACTAACAAAAAACCGACGGAGGATCACTCATTGAGAAGCGGGGAGCGAAAATAGTGTGAAAAGTTCGAAACAAACAGAAAAATAAACAAACTTCAAGCGTGGGGATGTCTTTTATCTCAGATAAACCGCTGAGAATGTTCACGACTTCAAAAAGATTCTGGACAAAAGGCACTTTCAAGCAAGGATGAAAGAAATCGATTAAAAGAAAACTGAAATCTTCTTTTAAAAATCTACGAAATATTTCCTTTTGTTTCTTTATAATATTTTTTTTTTTTAATTTTATGTTACAAAAAATAGAGTTCTGGATTTATTGCTAATACTTCAGAGTGCGATTGAAAATAAAATTTGGTTGTATTCTTTTCATTTTTCTTATTTGTTATGATGCAAATATTTTATATAATATTAAATTAATTCAATTGCTCTATTTTATGTAAGTAAAATATATATTTATATGTCGATTATACGGACATGTAATCTGTAGCTTTACTATTACCGGATGAATAGATTTTCACTATTATAGAAAAAGAGAAAATAACGTTATATATATAGGGGTATCAACTTATCTTGTTTTTTATTAATATTGCAAATTCTAATTCTTCTGCCAAAATGAAATGGATGAACAGTTGCCATTTTATATTTTTAATTTGGCGCATGCGTCTTGTTATTTTTTGCTTTTGTGGACTTCACAGTATAATAGTGTCAGTTGGGCACTGTCTGTGATAAAAGAATACCATTACACAATTCACTCCGCCAGAAATTTGGAAACGGCATGCTGTACTGTTTCACATTTGCACAAGAAACTCTAACACGAGCATTTCAGAATGTTTTGCTGTCAGTCTGACGACAGTGCAGTAGATTCGGAAAGAGCTGCATGAATCTAATGGTGATTACGAAAGTACAATAGATCGAAAAACACACGCTGATTGTTCTGATATATATAATAAAAAAAACAGAATTTGTTGGTGGGGAATTCAGGAGGCCTACATCAAGTGTCTTGGGTAGGTATTTATGCAATAGGACAAAAGAGTGGCTGCTGGAAGAAATTATGTCTGACAACAGGAATCTGCACCAAGTCACATAATTAGGGGAACACAGTCATGGCTGCTAGACATTTTCTGCGACAACATCACCCTTTATATCTAGCTACCTAACTTCCCCAGACTGCAACCCCCTTGATTATTATCTGTGAGGCGCAGTTGAGCGAGAGAGCAACAAACTCCTTCTAACACCAAAGATGAACTGAAAGCAAAGATTATGGCAGCATTCACCAATTTAAACAAGGAGACAGTTCAGAAGAGTTTCAGGAAGTTAGCAGGAGGACGTGTTTAAACACCATGGGAATTTTATTGAATCAATTTACTCTTTAGAATTTCAAGATATTGTATAATTTTGGTAAATATATTTGTTAAAATGAGATTATCAGTGTTATTTTAACTTTTGCGTAATTTAGATGACAGATTATACATCGCACCCTGAATATATATTATTCAAAACTCAAACGGAAATATTATTTATTTATTCATGTATTTATTTTGTTATTGATTTCATGAGATTTTAAGCTAACGAAAATTACTCACTTTACACTACCAAAATACAGTTAGGTTTCCAAAATCATTGTACGAATTGTGTTTTATCGTGTAACATTTCTCTGAACCGACAAAATACTTTAAGTCGATATGTCATATATTTTATTAGTAGTAGATATTTTTGCTTACTGCCCGGTTCACTCTCCTTCCTATCTAATCAAAAGAAGTAGGGTTTTATCACGTGATCCTGTTTAAGATTGGATTTCTGGTTCCTTGTAAAGTCTATATCAACTCCATAATCTAACGTCTCTGACTGCACTCTGAAATTTTACTATGTATTTTTCTCATCAATACGAGTAGATACCATCGCCTATCACCCAGTTAACACAGATTCTCCGTCTATTAAACAAAAGGAATCGTATATCTCTTGCTTTTTGTTTATGATTTCCCAGCTATTGGAAGATAGTGACTCCTCCTCTACATCAAACTGGGGTCAAAAAACTATGAATGTATAAAAATAGAGTTTTATAATATAACACAAGCATTACATTCTTTGAAAAAATATTATCAGCAATACATTTTTTAAAACATACTGCCAGTAGTACATTAAAAAATATTACAAGCAATAAATTTTTGAAAAAAAATATTACAAGCAATACATTTGACACACGGAAAAAAACTCTCTTTACAAAAATACGTCAATAAAACCTGATCTACAAATTGAATTCTTACAAAGAATACATATTCTATTCTTACGAAAGTGTCCTAAAAAAATGGTCGGCCTTAATAAACTCATCGAGGTTGATATGTCGGAAAACAAAAATAAACCTAAACCATGTCTTACGAAGTCAGGCAAACAAATATTTTAAATACGATTAATACAGAGATTATAAAATTTTCTGTTATATAAGGCTGAAACTCTATTTAGATTTCAATGTTTTCAAAACTTTAAGAGAAGACAGAAAACTATAGAACTGTAATCAATGAAATATATGGACCAACTAAATACTTTTCGGTACCACCTTTTATATTTCAAACGGTAATTAGTATTTATATTATCGGTTCTGTCAGTTAACTTTAAAGTAAGAATGACTATATTTATTTGCCTGATCAAAGGTGTCATCTATCATCTATGGCGGCTTACAATTAAATTAAATAGAATAAAAAAGAGAGTTTATTTAATTCATGCACTTCAGAAAAACTGATGGCGTCAGTTGCCTGTGAAACTATAGCTTTGTAATTTTTAAACCTTTGGAAATGTTATTTTAGTTTTAGAGTTTAGTTTTCAAATGCCACACAAGGTATAACTTTTAATGATATATTTAATTGTTTAAGGCTTTATAGTTTTCTGACTTATGGTCTGAATACATTGGAATTTACGGTGAATATATTCATTTCTATTAAATAAAGTTTATGCCTTATATTTTAACCCATATTTTCTGAAATAACGAGCAAAACAAAAATCGGTAACAGAAAATTTTAAAATGTTAATAAATAGTCGTATTTAAAATGTTTATTCAAATAAGATGAAAATAATATTGTAAAATGAAGTCACTATATAATTATTTCAGAAGGAATTAACCCCAGTAATAATTATTCGATAGATTTTTACACATACACGTGTTGGTTTTGAAATGATACTTTTTTCTAACTGCATCTCTATCTATAAAAGGCAGGGTGTGTCTGTGTGTGTGTATGTAACGAATGCACGGCCGCAATTTTCGACGGATTTGCAATCAAAATTTACATGCACATGCTCCATGTTAGCGGGAAGGCCAAGACCGACGTTGCATTTCCCAACTCCCATCGGTAGTGGAAAGAATCGGTTTTTTCATGCTTCTACGGCAGTTTTCATGTAGTTTGCGGCCATTTTCTACTGGCCAGAGTGAGAGCCTATAGCTGGCTGCCACGAATAGGCAGGAAGATTTTATTGACCAGCGTGAGAGCCAACAGCTGACTGACATTAATGTTAACTAGCATGCCAAAAAATCGATAGCTAGATTCGTCACAAGTGGTGAAAATTTAAATCTGCATGGCACTTTACTCCAGTTGGCTCATTCGCTTGCTTAAACTCAACGTTGATTCTGATTCCGCAGAACTGGGTTGGGTGTGAAAATTATTTGTTGTTAACATTCTTTTTTCATTCGGTTTTTCCAGTTACGAGTCCTATTTTAAAGCTGATCGTTTTGTGTTCATTTTGTTTAGTTCTTTTTTTTGTAACAGATTTAATGTTTAGTATAGAGCTTAGAAAAATTTGCAGTGTGAGATAGGCAAGAAGTAAGGCATGTAGGAACATCAGCACGGCAAAGGGCACTCCTTTGAAGGCAAGGAAAGGCAAAAATATTTTAAGTCACGTGATAGCATTTGCTGTAGGAGTCGTACGATTTTTGAATCAAGCACGGGCAACGCCGGACCATGTTGCTAGTATATATTATTCTAATTCAACAACAGTATATTGAGAAACTAATGCACAGTATGAGGTTGTAATCTTTCTTGTATTCATGACTTCGTTTTTATAAAGCTAATTAGAACGACATTATTTTTTTAAAAAACATTAACAGATTTCTCCTGGCATTTATAAATGAAAACCTTTTTGTAAAGAATTTTTATTTAAAGAAAGATTTTCTTAAATTCATTAAAATACAAATCAAATTTAATTATTTTTCTAAAACTATTATTCCAGTTAGTAAGAACTATGGTGGAACGTCCAACATTTCCAAATAAAGACTTATTAGCTTTCTTGCTCTATTTTGGAATCTCATAAGGGCCCTAATCAATGCTGAATTGGTTAAGCATCTCATATCGCAGACAAGAAATTTATTCAGACAAGAAATATCGCTTTCGTTTCTCCAGGACAACTGCTGAGGTACAGAGTATAATTTTTGAAAGTGTATATCAAGCCCTAGATAACTATTGTGAATCCCGGGCTGTAGGTTGTGATATCCCGAAAGCTGACGACAGTGTTTGTTATAAAGGAATTCTTCACAAGCTGAAAATGTTACAGTGTCTCCGGACAAATTTTTGAACTGATTCAATCTTTGCTATCAAATCGTGAAATGAAAGTAATCTTGAGCGTCCCCTCTTCCAGGTTTTTTCTTACTAATGTGGCCCCCAGGACTACATACTTGGTCCTACTTTGTTTTTAATTTCCCCGATGTCCATCGGGTCCCAACTTGGTATCTACGCTGATGACACAACCATTTACTCTTGTCTCGATAGTAAGTCTAATCTGTTTGATAAGGTCAAAATGGCAGCTGATATGATTTTTTTTACTACGGTAAAGGATTGCTTGTTAACTTTAACGCCCCGAAAGATAAACTGTTCTTTAAGAGAACTCAGTCTGTCTTCCATCAGCATTAGACTGAGGCTAACCTCCAGGATAGTGACTTATTTCGGCTTCTCGGGTTAACATTCTTGTCTGACATGAACTGAAAATCTATATTGAATCCATTGCTAGGTCAGCTGGTTTAATGTGACTAGCGAGACAATTACTTTCTTCAGAATCAATCAGAAATATCTATAAATTCATCATTTGTCCATGCTTAGAACATTGTTGCCACATATGGTCCGGTGCTCCTTCAAATTATCTAGAACTCTTTGATAAAATCTAAAAAAGAATCAGCAATATTACCATCCTTTCCTAATTGTCTATGGCTTGTGTATACAAATGTCACCACTGAAATGTATCTTTATTCATTAGACATCCGTCGACTTTCTTTCTCTCCTCTTATATATATATATATATATATATATATATATATATATATATATATATATATATTTTTTAAATATAATAAAAAGGCCCCCGTACATCTCCAAATCCAAATGAAAAACAAAAAAAATTCTCTCTGTTAAGGTTTCATGTCCCTCCTCCTCATACTTACACGAAATTTCTCTAAATTCTGTTTTGATTTCCGGAGTTGTTTTTTCTGTTTTCATTTTTGAATTTGTTTTGAGGTCTGATGATTTAGATCGTATTTACGATTCCAGTGGAATAAATTATGACCATGGAATATTAGTGTTTAAGCCTTTTTATTATATCCTTACTCTGTCCTAGACATTGAGTTCTACCTGGATCCTTCCTCTTGGAAAATTTTTTTTCTGAAAATATACATGTATGGTAATTTTTTATATATATTTTGCATATGTATGTATATTTTCCACTAATATTATCTCTCTTTCTCTCCCTCTCTCTCTCTCTCTCTATATATATATATATATCTATATATATATATTATAAATTAATTGATTTAACATATGGTTTTTCCGCAACACAGTTCTAACCATGGTTTTGGCGTCATTGTCATAAAGTTTACTTAAATAATTTAAAAAAAAAATGTTACCTAATAATATACATACTTATAGTTGATGTGAAAATAACTACATACTGTAAGGGATTCCAATACATTTACTTACTCTTAAATGAAATAAAGTATATTAAAAATTAAAAGTGAAAATATTTTTTTTAAAATTGTAGTTATATAAAAGGTATTCTAACCTAAATCCCCCCCCGAAAAATTTTTTTTAAATATACAAATAGAAAAAATGCCGTAAGAATCTTTGCCGTTAACAATAAATTTATAAAAAAATCCAGACGACATGCTTTTAACGGATGTCAGATTTCATTGAAAAATGCATCCCTACCCCAACCAAAACTGGTACATCAAAATCCAGACATAATGAATACGCAAACACCCCTCGTCTGGTTGATTTCAATTTCTCCGTTTCTTGATTTTGATTTTTGCTGTGTCTTTAAAACCCAGTAATTTTATTAGTTACTCCAAAATTCGCTTGAGGATGAAATGGAACTAATGTCTTTAATTTAATTACAAAATTAAATTTGGACCATCCATTTTTGAAACATGGTTAGGACTGTGTAGCGGAAAAGCCATATTTTATATCAATTAATTTATAATATTAATGCTCTGTAAATTTACATTAAGCACTAGTTTGTAAAAATAAAAATATCTATAAGAACACCAGATTATATATTTTACTGTTCTTTTTCTTTATATATATATATATATATATATATATATATATGTGTGTGTGTGCACACACACACACACACACACACACACACACACACACACACACACACACACACACATACGAGAAGTCGACGGAGACATATTAAAAAGTGGCGTCAAGAGGGCCTTCATTTTTGGGGAAGGTTTCCTATCGAGAGCCAAACTATCCACAATGCAAATCTTTCGAATGAGTTCTTTTTGGGCGAAGACTTGGAGAAGAGAGATAGAGGAAACTGATCCCTAGAGAGGTAAGCGGGGAGGCTCTTTGCCTTAACTTTTTGAACAGGTCCTTGCTTTTTTTGCTGGGGAAGACGGGCCGGATTTTGTCTTGGTTTAGTCTATGGCCTTCTCTTCGACCAGACTTTCTCTGCTTTGCTTTCTTCTCCTTTTTCTCTTTGTTACTCGCCATTTTCAATGTGGTCGATCTAGGTGAGGGTATCTCCCCCATATACAGAACGAGTTTTGGCAACTCCTGACTCTGTTGTTGCTGCTCCTCTAGTTGCTGCTGCTGTAGCTACCGTTGATGCTGTGGGACATCCTTCTGTGGGGGAGAGAGGAGATGCATCCAACCATAGAACCTTTTAACAACTTCCTTCCACTAACTGGGACCTTCGGAGACTTTACAAAACTTGCCATTCCTCGCAGACTCCTTTGATATACCTTGTTGTGGCGTTGGATTCCGGCCTGGACACACATTTGCCAAGTGCCCGACGACACCACACAAACAGCAATGGGGTATCCTGCCTTCCACAGCGGAAGATCTTCTTTTCTCTGCATGTTAGTGTGTCGTGGACGTCAAGAAAATACTTTCTATCCGGGGTTATTTTAATGTGAAGCATTCCGACGGCACCCCGGCCTTGCTCAGTATACGAGCGACATCCTCGACCTTTCCCTTTAAGGGAAAGAATGCTCCCACATGGTCTTCTGTAATGTCCAACGCTGACATTGGTCCTAACCTGGCACATCGCCTTCAGTCTCTTTCCAACCACTTTAATGTAATTTCACTGTACGTTTTCTATAAATACTTTCTGTATGGTAATAGATTTTATGCATTTAATTACAGTACTAGATTAGCGGTAAGGTCTCATCATTATCCAGCTATCGATTTTTCTGCATGCTATCATGCTAGTTAACATTAGTGTTAGTCAGATGTTGGCTCTCACGCTAACCAGTAGAATCTTCCTGCCTATTTGTAGCAGCCAGCTATAGGCTCTCACTCTGGCCAGTACAAAATGACCGCAAACTACATGAAAACTGCCGTAGATCATGAAAAAATTGATCATTTCCACTATTGATGGGGGTTGGGAAATGCAACGTCGGTCTTGGCCTTCCCGCTAAGTTGGAGCAAGTACATGTAAATTTTGGTGCAAATCCGTCGACAATTGCGGCCGTGCATACGTTACACATACGCACACGCACACACACACACAACGACACACACACACACACACACACACACACACGCGCACACAACCTGCCTTTTATAGAGATGCAGTTATTTTAATGTTTGTATACATAAATAATTGTTTAAGTTTCACCTACATTAATATTAAATTTTATCTTAGAATCTCCCGGTCTACACTTTAATTTCTAAACGAATATATGCCTTATAACGATTTCCATAAACCAAATATTAATACTGGATTATCTTTAGCAGATTTAACCTGTGAACTTTTCACAGTTTTCCTAATTCAATATTTTGATGACTTTAAATTCTTAGTGATTGAGTAAACTCAGGTCGAGTTCTATAACAATAAAATGTCCGTATAGCATCGTTAAATATTCGCGCATAACAACTTTAGAAAATTACTGCAATAACAATGATAAATATGAACGCTACTCGTCATTCTAAGATGTTGGTACAAATGAAACGACTTGAAATTGATAACTTTTCTTCCATTTCACTGAAACAGCCGATAAAATATTTTATCTTTCTTTCTTTCATTCATATGTCCTTTTTCTTCTACACAATGAAAACGGATGGTCCATTATTTATAACGTATTGGCAGGAGACGTTAAAGCCTTCTATCTTCTCTACTTTCATTGTTTCAATTTTGCCAAATCCCCCTCTTACGAACATTTCTCTTAATAATTAAAAATATAATTCCGCAGAAGATGTTCTTTTATTTATCATTACTTCGATAATGTACATCTGAAAAATGGCGCTTTTATTGCTTTTTGGCTAGAGATCAAAGTGTAGTGTCTGTTCTTATCAGCTTAATCTGATTCTCTACCCATTTCTATTTCCCGTCTTTCTGTATTCTTTTTTATTTTTTATTTTTCCTATCTTCGATTCATATTCTCACTGAAAAAAATGTAGTGTCGTTTCCACGCGACGAAAACGGAATAGTCTATTATTTATGAGGTTAGACAGGACAAAACTGTCGTGTGAATTCCAGTAAAAAAAAAGTTTATTGTTGGGCAGGAGAAAGCTCTCATTACTTCTCAATCGCATTATTTATGGATTGTTGTTGCACTGGGATCAAATGATTCCCGATCTAAAAGAAAAGGACTTTTAATGCGGATTATTTTGATTAGGAAAATACTTCTTTTGATTAATAAAACAAATGATTCCAACGAAAAACAATATTTATTTGTTTTATTTATTGTTTTTATAAGCCATTAATAAAGGAATCTATGTCAATTTCGCCATTTTTTAAATATCGCCTCTTTGCGTGGCATATCAATTTCTTAATCTATCGCATCTTCACGTGACAATTCCTTTCGCACATTTATTCAGCTATATTTTTTCCGATATAGATTAATATAATCGTATATATCATAGAGTTGAAGAATGAGTCGCAATGATTTTCATTATATTGTTAATAGGAAAAAGATAAGTAAAGTAAATTGTTGTCAACAAAAACCACATATCCCTTCTTCAAAACCTGTCGAAGTTATCGAAGTGAGAGTCAGGTTAAGTCTATAGATCACGTGCGAAATCCGGGTGGAACATTTACTGAAACACATTATATATGATGTTGAAGACTGTGTTGGTTACGAATTGCTAATATTTAGCTTTTGTTGAAGTTACATGCAGAGAGAATCAAAGACATCATACGCATATTTAACACCACTAGAAAGAGTCTGTGAATATCTACATGGATGATGTAAATGTATGGACGTCAATGCCTCATAGATAATGTACAGCCTGTGATTAAAAAAAAAAAGCGTCACTTGCTCGCGGCCGGAAGACTAAGAAAACTTTTTTTCTTTAATCGAATAAAGTGAGACAATAAGAATTGCCACTGGTAAAATCTTTTAGATTCAGATGAAATGTATAAACCATAAAGGTTAAAGAACGAAATCAATCCACTTATTGCAGTGTGCTTAGTAGTTATGTGAAGGAGGTAAAAGATAGGATAAATATGAAACTTGGGATAACTTGCCATTTAAATTACACAACAATAAAATAACACTGTGGTATATAGGAATAGACTATCACTGCCGACACTTGAGTTTGAACATAGATCGCCAGTGAGTGAACACAGGCGCTCCCATTATTGAATTAAGTAGACTACCTGACAATAGAGGAAACACACATATGTAGGATCGCTATTTCTAGTCTATCCTCTATTACTATGCTGACCGCTATTCTCTAGTCACTGTACTGTTTCTCTATCTGGATCACTATATGGGTTACTATTCGAGATAAATATTATCGAGCAAGTACTATTAGTGCGAGTTTTACTCTAAGGTGTTTGACATCAGCATTGTTTAACGGCGTATTATAAGTTGTATCTGTTATTACAAAGTCTCTACCGACTACTTCGGAATCTCCTGCAACTCTTCTGGAAGTTTTCCTTGTTTAAGTTGGTGAATGCTGCCATAATACTTGCCTTCTGTTCATTTTTTAATGTTACAAAGAGTTTTGTTGACTTACTGCTCAATTACGCACCCACACCATATTAATCAAGAATGTTGCAGTCTGGGGAATTAGTAGTCCAGATGTATGGGGTGATGCGGTCGCAGAAATTATCTGAGAGCCATGACTTGATTCTCATGCATGCATGACATGGTACAGCGTCCTTTTGCTAGGCATAGGGTCTCCAAGCTGCCACCCTCTTGATCCAGGGCAGCACTACCTGATTAAGGCACATGATGTAGGCCTCAGTGTTAAGTCTAATGTTCTGTGGGAAGATAGATGAAAGTATAACATCGTCGCGCTAGTGATTACTCCAAATACCATATCATCCAACTCTTTCAGAATACTCTTCAGTGTCGCAAGATTGACACCCAAACACTCTGAAATATTCGTATTGGAGATTCCGGTGCGAATCCCAAGCAGTAAAACATAACGTTTCTAAATTTCCAGGGTTGCATCATGCTGCTCTTTTACAAAGACAGTGCGCAACTGACAGGTATATACTGTGCATTTGATAAAATCAAAAACAAAAGTCGCGCATGCGCGAAATTAAAATATAAAATGACGATCTGTATATAATTTTATCTTTGTACATTCCCCGTACTTAAAGTTTTATTCTAATCCAGCCTATGTCAATTAATATTGGCAAACGTTTGTATGGCTGTGTGTTTTCTCCAAACATGGATTATTCTGCTCACGTGAATGTAAGTGATGTACGAAACACACATGCACGCGAGCATACACGCGCACATAAGGAGTAATGGATAATGACTCAGATTGAAGAATCGAATTCCAGTTTAATCCCTTGCATTCACTTACCTGCTAATACCCTTCTTCACTCCCAGCTATGCGTACATAGCAAGGCAGACTGGGTTCTATAGCCTTGGGTGGAAAATGGGCTAGAAGAACAACAACTCTGAATTCAAAACCGCGAAGGTTTGTTTGGGGATCTTGTGACACGTTCTGCACCAATTCTCTATATTCGACCCTTCCTAAACGTTTGCTTATTTCTGCACACACATTCACCACTAGGATCAAATGATTTGTCCAGGTAGTCTGGGTGTCGGTTTCCAATTGACGGGGAACTGAGTTGCTTGATCCCCACAGGTATATAATATATATATATATTCCATATATATATATATATCTCACTATCTCTCTATATATATATATATATATATATATATATATATATATATATATATATTTATTTAGTTTATGCAAAACTTAGGTAATCCGTATGGGTAGACCTGAGGAGGATGATATCCAGAGAGCTTATTACATGGAATCTTAACGAAATAAAATAGCTTATTACATGGAATCTTAACGTGGTCTGTTTTTATTCAAACTATATATATATATATATATATATATATATATATATATATATATATATATATATATATATATATAAGAGGCTGAATTTATTATATGAGATAAAGTATATATTATTATATATCAAGAACAGTAGTATTTGAGAAATTGCATGACAAAGTGGAAAAAGTTTACTTATGACGCGTTTCATCTTTCAGGATTTCATCAGACTAAATTTTGTTATATTAATAGGA